AAGCCGTCTGCGAGACTGCCGCCGCCGCCCGGAGCGCGGAGCTCCCGCCTCGAGCCGAAAGACATTAACAAAAAGGGGGGAATAGTCCATTTGTAATAGCAGCGAAAAGGGTCCCGCAGCGCTGGAACGCGCGGCCGCCGCCCGCTCTCCCCTCCGCCCTCCGCTCTCCCCTCCGTTCTGCGTTATGTCTACTCGGCTTAGACTTCGCTATTCCCTCCGCACGGGATACTCTTTCAATGTCTTTTTTTCCTTTTGGTGCTGTATGGGGACTTGAACTCTGGGCCTTGCACTCTTCTCTGGCTGGCGCCCTGCCACTTGAGCCATGCCCCCAGGCCTTGCATGTCTTTGTGTTTATGGCCGCCTCCTTTCCATACCAGAACCCAGCGTATGTATCTGAAAGGAGATTTTTTTTTTTTCCCTCTGCCCCATTCCCCGTCATCGCTTGGGAATTGTGGGAACAGGAAAGGGCCTCACCTTTAGATGGCCGGCAAAAAGCCAAACCACAAAACAACCCAAGGTTGAAAGCCAAGGGCTGCCCCTTGGGGACACTGTGGCTGGCCTGGCCACATTGCACCCTGTCTGCTGTCCTGACCCCAGACCCCTCCTCTCTGATACGCGCTTCTCACCCTGTGGAGCCCAGGGTCTCAGTTGGCTTTAGTTAGCTGAGGGCCTGTGCCACACGGCCATGCCTGGCAGCAAGGAAGGGAAGCTGGGAAAGCCACGCCGGAACTTCCTCTTTCTGGGATGGAAAGAAATGGCTGGACTTCCTGGTTCTGGGATGGGAGAGAAATGGCTGGACTTCCTGGTTCTGGGATGGGAGAGAAATGGCTGAACTTCTTGTGTCTGGGATGGCAAACTCTTGGCTGATCTTCCTGTTCCTAGGAAAAGTGGAAGCGTGTCCTGGCTGAATTTTCTGATTTTGGAATGAGAGTCATGGCAGAACTTCCTGTTTCTAGGATGGGAGGATCAGGGCGGAGCTTCCTGGTTCTGGGGTGGGAGGAAGAGCTTGTGGCGGCCCATCATAGTCCCTGCCAGGTGGGAAAACCAAGAGACAAGAGCCCGTCCTTCTCTCCTAAATAATTCTCCATCACACCTCTGTTTCCCAAAGCTTCCAGATGGAACGTCCTCGCTTTTTCCCACTCTCTTAAAGTTGCTTCACTTGGTAGTTGGCTCGCTATGCACTCCAGCTGCTCATGATTCAAAATTAGAAGTATTTCCTTAGTTTTTTTTCTTCTTCCTCTTCATTTTTTGTTTTTAAGCCTCTAATCCATTGCCCACCTTCCACTCCTCAGCTTCCATTAGTCATTTCCCACCCAGCTGCCAGCAGTGATGTCCTTCAGTGAATCCCAGTGAAGGGAGAATGAAGTCTGCCAGCTCCCTCCTCACAAGGCCTTGCAGTCTGGCTGTTTTCTTCACCTTCCTGAGTGAATTTGTCTTTTATTTCCACCTCATCCCGAAGCCAGTTTCCCTGGCTTGTCTCTGTCTTCCTACAATTCTTGTGCTGTTCAATTCTTTTGATCAGATCTCGCTATGGATTTTTTTTTGGGGAAGAGAGGGATGGCTGTTTTTTTTTTTGTTTTGATATTTCCTCTTTATTTTTATTTTTTGTCAGTCATGGGGCTTGAACTCTGGGCCTGGGCACTGTCCCTCAGCTCTTTAGCTCAAGGCTAGCGCTCTACCACTTGAGCCGCAGTGCCACTTCTGGTTTTCTGGTGATTCATTGGAGATAAGATTCTCACGGCCTTCCCTGCCCAGGCTGGCTTTGAACTACCGTCTTCAGATCTGGAGTAGCTAAGATGACAGGTATGACCCACTGGTGCCCATCTTTCCTCTTAAAATTTTTAAAAATTTGTGTTGGTACTGTGGCTTGAACTCAGGGCCTTGTGCTCTCGCTTACCATTTAAATCACAACTCCACTTCCAGATTTTTAGCTGGTTAGAAGGAGGTATGACTTTCAGACGTTTTTCCCCCTAAGCTGCCTTGAACTGAGATCCTCAGATCTCAGTCTTCTGAGCAATTTGGATTCCCGGTGTGAACCGCTGGTGCTTGGTTGCTTATCTCCTCTTGAGCCAGGTAGCCAGCCTCTCTTGGGATATTTTCAAGATATAGGGTCTTGCTTTACTTATTCAGAATATGGCTTTCTTTTTTACTCTATTCCCTGTACTTCCTATGTAAATAGGAATAACATGAATATACACACATATCCTTCTAACATACTAAAACCCAAATCTTTCTAACTCCGGCCAATAGGGAATTATTCCTTTCTCTATGAAATTACCTCTGTGATTATACACATTTTTTTAAATAATAGAGGGAACAGTGAAAAATTTCTTTTTGGCTGCCTTCTGAGCTGTGGCCACCTGCTAGAGCAGTTGAGAAGTGTCAAGCAGAGAAGAGAGTTGTGTCCTTGGGTACAATAAGAGTTTAGTGCCAGAGTGGCCCTGGAAGGAGAACCTTCGAAAACTTCTAGTGATTCTTTTCGCCTTTCCTCTTGGCATTACGTGGAGATGCCCTTCACACTGCCATCTTGGCAGATAATTATCAGAGACCCCTTTTTAGGTTCCCCGAGGTCTTCCCTTCTGGGGCATGGATTTCTACTTTTAGTAGGTGCCCCCCTTTCTCTCGGAGATAATCACATCCAGTTGGTCTCTCTTCTCAGGGGGACGTGACCTAGAATTTGTTTTGTCTTTGAGAAATGAGGTCGCTTTCCTAGCAAGAGGTGTCAGGAGATGCGGGAAGCCCTAGGCTGTGAGGGGAGGTTTTTCCTGGTCACTTCCTGCAAAGGTAGGGACTCAGTAGTGACCTGTGGTGGCCAGTGAGTGACAAGGATGGGTCCCCTCCCCCAGGCTCCTGAAATGACCCAAGCAAAGGTCGCCAGTGCTCTGTTGGACCTGGCAAATTCCACACTGTCTTTTCCACTTCAGTCGATTGGACCTTTAGGGTACTATCTGAAATTGTTGATGCCCCTGAGTCTTCTTATATACTTTTCACACTTAAAATCTTTATTTATTTACTTTAGGTCTCTCACTAGATGGTTGTCAAGATTGGGAGAGAAATGTCTGAACTTCCTGTTTCTGGGATGGGAGAATCATGGCTGAACTTCCTGTTTTCTGGGATGGAAGAGTCACATAGTTTATTTGCTTGTTTATTTACTTATTTAGTGCTGGTACTGGGCCTGGGTACTGTCCCTTGGTTTTCCTTTTTGTTTTTGTTTTTGGTCGGTTGTGGGTCTTGAACTCAACCTGGGCGCTGTCCCTCAGCTCTTCAGCTCAAGGCGAGTGGTCTACCGCTTGAGCCACAGCACCACTTCTGGTTTTCTAGTGCTTTATTGGAGATAAGAGTCTCACAGATGTTCCTGCCCGGCTGGCTTTGAACCTCAACCCTCAGATCTCAGCCTCCTGAGTAGCTAGGATTACAGGCTTGAGCCACCGGCGCCCAGCTGTCCCTTAGTTTTTTAAAGAACTTTTTTCCTTAAGGCTAGTGCTCTACCACTTCCCTTAGCCACAGCTCCATTTCTAGCTTTTTGCTGCTTCCTTGGAGTAACAGTTTCACAGGCCTCCCTGCCTACGCTGGTTTTTTGAGTGGCCATCCTCTATCTCGGCCTCCTGAGTAACTAGGATGACAGGCATGGGCCACTTGGCAGACTGGCTCACTTCTCTTTGGGGTTTCCATTTTATTAATGATTATTACTTTAAAAAACAACATTAGTTTTGGGCCAGGAATGTGGCTTAGTGGTAGAGCGCTCGCCTAGCAAGCCTGAAGCCCTGGGATTGATTCCTCAGTACCACAAGCACAGGAAAAGCCCGAAGTGGTGCCTGTGGCTCAAGTGGTAGAGTGCTAGCCTTGAGTAAAAGAAGCTCAGGGACAGTGCCCAGGCCCTGAGTTCAAGCCCCAGGACTGGCAAAACCCAAAAACAGAACAAAACAAAACCCGTTAGCTTTTATTTATTTATTTTTTAACTGGCACATACAGATTACTGGCATTAACAAGAGAGGACTACCTCAGTATGTGTCCATGTCAGAAGTTAGTGCGTCAGTGCTTCTAACACCCGCCCTCATTTCTTAGTGTGGAGACCATAGAATAGGCATTCCATGACTGTCAGCTCCGGCTGCTCCTGGGGAGTGGAGTTCAGGGCTCAGGCCTCTCGCCGAATTCTGTCTTTGCACTTGCTGCCTGGCTTCTCTGCCCGTCCCCTCCCTGGCCCTGGTAGTCACGCTTAGATGGCCTCCATCCGTGAGAACGGCTGTGCTACATTCTACATAGGAACCAGAACATGGACCAGTTGACTTTCTGTGTCTGGCTTATTTCCTAGAGGCTGCCTCCCTTTTCTGTGCCGATCCTGGGGCTTGAACTTGGGGCCTGGGCACTGTCCCTGAGCCTCTTGGTGCTCAAGGTTTAGCCTACCATTGAGCCACAGCTCCACCTCTGGCTTTTTTGGTGGCACACTGGAGATAAGAATCTGACGGCCTTTCCTGCTCAGGCTGGCTTTGAACCACGATCCTCAGATCTCAGCCTCCTGAGCAGCTGGGATGACAGGCGTGAGCACCAGGCTCATGCTCATGTTTGATCTCCTAAGGCCTCTCCCTGACCGCTGGTCTGACATCTCTCACAGCCACGCTGGCCTCCTCTAAGCAGCCCTGCTGCTCTGAGAGGCCAGCTCCCCTAGGCCTCTGGGAACAGCAGGGAAGCGGCTGGATCCTAATGAGACCCTCCTCTCCCTTAATGACTCTGGGGGTGTCGGGGATGCCGCCGGCTAACTCTGCCCTAATTAATTGACAGGGAGGCTACCCACAGAGGAATTAGCCTGGTTCTTCCGTGTCAGGCTCTTCTGGGCTTGGCTCAGGCCCCACCTTGCAGCCTGCTGGTCACCTGGGACAGCCCCGGGGTGGGGGTGGGGAGTGCCCCATGTGAGCCGGAGCTGGGGACCAGGGGAGGCCTGGGCTGGGTGGACATCACACAGACCTGGGCTCAGATCCTGGCTCTGTCACCTGTTAAGGCGTGGCTCACCAGTTAACCTCTTCGGTCCTCTCTTCTGTGTAGAAGGGGAAGCCGATGGATTTCGAGGGTGGAGAGGAAGCTTGAGGGATGTACAAGGCCACGGCAGAGGTCAAGTGTGAAGCATTCTGCCGGTGTGAAACACGGGGAGCAGGCTGGTGGCCAGGGGCTGGGTTCCCTGTCGGGTGGTTAGAATGGGCGGATTCTTGGAGATGGTATGAATTTAACCTTTATATATATGTATATATGTGTGTATATATATGTGTATATATATATGTGTGCATATATGTGTGTATATATATATGTGTGTGTATATATATATGTGTGTGTGTGTATATATATATATATATAATAAAGACAAGAAAAAAAGGCAGAGCTGGGCACAAGCCTGTCATCCCAGCTACTCAGGAGGCTGAGATCTGCGGACGGCGGTTCGAAGCCAGCCGGGCAGGAAAGTCCGTGAGGCTCTGATCTCCAATGAACCACCAGGAAACCGGCCAGAAGTGGGGCTGTGGCTCTAGGGGTGGAGCGCCAGCCTTAGAGGGGAGCCGAGGGCAGCGCCCAGGCGCGGGGGTCAGGCCCCAGGATCGGCACACGCACGCACACACTCGCGCGCACACTCACGCACGCACGCACAGGATGAGCCCAAGCACTCCGCATTTCGGATAAGGAATAGTTCCGGGCTGGGAGGCGCGGAGGGAGCGCGGGCTGCGGACCCCAGGTCCCCGCGGGGTCCCGGGGG